GAAAGAAAAAAGAAAGAAAGAAAGAAAGAAAGAAAGAAAGAAAGAAAGAAAGAAAGAAAGAAAGAAAGAAAGAAAGAAAGAAAGAAAGAAAGAAAAAGAATTTGAGCCCATTGCTGGGGGCCGCAGTTGTAACTTTGAGGAGGGGGTCGTCAAGTAGCATTTTTAGAAGCCCGTCATCAGTTTGAACGGTTGTTAAAGGAGCCATCGGTCGTAAACGGAGGACTAGCACGTGGGGAGGACTCGAGGGGGGAGAAGTGAAGGCAAAGTTCCCACACCTACCTGCAGACAATCCGGATTCTGAGCTGCGAATTCCTTCCACTCCTGCAAAGCGCAGTGCTTGTGGATGGCTGTGAAGAGGGAGAACTGGGGGAAGGAAACAGCGTGTAAAGGATGAAGCCAGTGGCTAAGACCCCCGGCTGGGAAGTGCCAGAGCACGAGTTCAAGTCCCGCCTGAGGCACGACGCTGGGACGGTCCCTCTCTCTCAGCCCAGCCCACCCCACAGGGTTGTTGTTACTGTCGTGAAAATAGGAGGAAGCTGTGATGGAGACATTCACTGCCTTGAGCAATTTGTAGGAGGCAAGGAGGGAGGAAAGAAGGAAAGAAGGAAGGAGGAAAGGAACAGAGAAGGAGGAAGGAAGGAGAGGAACAGATAGAGAAAGGAAGGAAAAGAGAGAGAGGGAAGGAGAGAAGGAAAGAGAAAGAGAAAAAGAAAGAATGGAGGAGGGAAAGAGAGGAAGGAGAGGAAGGAAGGAGAAAAAGACAGTGAAAGAGAGAGAAAGAAAGAAAGGGATGGAAGAGAAGAGGAAGGAAGAAGAGAGAAAGAAAGGAAGGAAGGAGACAGAGAGAGAAAGAGAAAGAAAAAGAGGGAAGGAAAGGAAGGAAGGAGACAGAGAGAGAAAGATGAAAGAAAAAGAGAGAGAGAGAAGGAATGGAGGAGGGGGAAGGAGAGGAATCAAGAAGGAGAAAGAGACAGAGAAAGAAAGAGAGAGAAAGAAAGAAAGGGATGGAACANGACAAGGTTAAAGCAACAGAAAGAAAAACACGAGAAAAAAAATAAAACACAAAACGCACATAACAATATAAAGTAATTATACAGCCTTCTATATTGGCTTTCCTGTTGAGCCTTTATAATTCTCCGTTCCGCGTTGCCTTCCTATTGCTTTAACCTTGTCCTATAATATAACAACAACATTTATACTAATATTGATTATTTATATCACCATATATTTGCATTCTCTATTTTCTGCTTTGGCTTCTGTTTTCTAGCCACTTATAAATTCTATTCCATATTTTATAGAAACCCGATTCTTCTCTTTCTTTTAGTTCTATTGCCATTTTGTCCACCTCTGCACATTCGAGTACTTTTCTAATTATTGTTTCCTCTGCGGGCGTATTGATTTTTTGCCAGTTTTGTGCGAAAGCAATCCTGTCTGCAGTGAGTGTGTGTATGATTGTTTATCCATTTTTTGGTCTTAATATTCCTAATAAGAATGCTTCTGGTTTCAGTTCTGTTTTTCGCGCCGTAATTTCTTCCAACCATTTCCGAATTTTGCACCAGTATTTCCTTGCGATGGGGCACACCCACCCCATAGGGTAGAATGTTCCAGACTTGTGGGCTACATCTCCCAACATTTAGGGGGATAAATTTGGGTACATTTTGGCCATTCTCGCTGGAGGCAAATGCCATCTATAAAACTCTCGTCAATAGGGTAACCGATGTCGCCAACCCCAATTTACAAGATTTTCTTTTTAAGTGATACAATGATTTGCTTTTTGTGCCGAAAACCAGTAAACGCTGATTTTCTGGGATGGGAAAAAACATCGTAAAGTGTGATCGTATGATTGCGGAACACTGCAAATGTCAATTTGGCCTAGTGGTTAAGGCATTACACTCGAAAGCAGGAGACGGGGAGTTCTAGTCCTGTCTCAGGCATGAAAACCGGGTGGGTGACTTTGGGCCAATCATCAGGAGAAGGTGAATTCTAGTCCCAACTCGGGTGTGAAAGCGGTAGGTGACTTTGTGCCAATCACCAGGAGAAAGTGAGTTCGAGTCCCTCTCCTTTGGGACAGCCCCTCAAATACTGGAAGACTGTTGTCATATCACCCCTAATTCCGCTTCTCACTGGATTAGCCATACCCAAATCTTGCAACCATGGACCTTGGAGGTCTTCTAGTCCAATGGTCTCCAACCTTGGCAACTTTAAGACCTGTGGACTTCAACTCCCAGAGTTCCTCAGCCAGCTGGCTGAGGAACTCTGGGAGTTGAAGTCCACAGGTCTTAAAGTTGCCAAGGTTGGAGACCACTGTTCTAGTCCAACCCTCTGCTCAAGCAGGAGACCATTGTGAACAAACATTGTTCAGTCTCTTCTTGAAAACCTCCAGTGATGGAGCACCCACAACTTCTGGTGGCAAGCAGTTCCACTGGTCAATTGTTCTAATTATCAGGAAATCGGGGCATAGAATAATAGTTGGAAGGGATTTTGGAGGCCCTCTAGTCCAACCCGCAACTTCTAGTCGTTCCATTGATTAATTGTTCTCAGTGTTGGAAAGTTTCTCCTTAATTCCAGGTAGCTTCTTCCCTCGATTAGTTTCCACCCGTTGCTTCTTGCCTTAGCCAGCCTTCCGTTCCATTTTTCGTTTCCATTCCTTCGATTCTATGCAGCTTAGTTTCCAGCGCAAAGTCGGGATTCTGTACTGCCGGGAAAAGCAAGGTTCGGAGGAGGACATGTACAACAACGAGAAGGCTGGGCCCACCTTTGAAGAGTTCCTGAACCTCTTGGGGGATCGAGTCCGCCTACTCGGCTTCGACAAGTACCGTGCGCAGCTGGACATCAAGAGTAAGTGTTGGGTGTGATCGGCTGCTACAAACAAATCCACATTGACACCAACTCGGGCCCAGAGTTATGCACAATCACATCCCTCAGCTGGGCCCACCTACGCGCCAGAGGTGGGTTCCTACCAGTTCGGTAGAACCGGTTCGTCAAATCTACCGAACCGGTTAGAAGAGGTTCCACCAGTGGACCCGGAAAGCAGGCCACACCCACAGAATAGGTTCGAAAAATTTTTGAAACCCACCACTGACACACACACACACACACACAGACTCACAAAGAGAGAGAAAGGAAGAAATAAATAAAAAAGAAAGAAAAAGTGAGAGAGATGAAAGGACAGAGAGACAAAAGGAAGGAAAGAGAGAGAGAGAGAGAGAAAGAATAGCAATAGCAGTTAGACTTATATACCGCTTCATAGGGCTTTCAGCCCTCTCTAAGCGGTTTACAGAGTCAGCATATCGCCCCCACAGTCCGGGTCCTCATTTTACCCACCTCGGAAGGATGGAAGGCTGAGTCAACCTTGAGCCGGTGAGATTTGAACCGCCGAACTGCAGCTAACTGTGGCTACAGTACTGCACTCTAACCACTGCGCCATCTCGGCTCAAGAAAACACATGGCCGGCAAGCCACTCCCACAAAGGAGGCCACACCCACAGAGTAGGTTCGAAAATTTTTTGAAACCCACCACTGGTACGCGCCCTTGCGTTTTACGGACCTATATCCTCTCCGCTGAGTCGCTGTTTTCCTCCCCAGCAGTAATTGCTTTGGGGCATGGCCACCACATAGGATAGTATGAACCAAATGGTTGCTTACTCTTCCAACATTTAGCCGATCTATCTTTAAACGTTTTTGCCAGTCTTCTCGGTGTAAAGTGGGCATTTCATACAAACCTTCATACAAATGTTTCATACAAACATTTCATACAAACCTTCCTGATGGGCAGTCGACGTTGTCAATTTAATATTTCTATCCCACAATTGCTGCCATTCATCTAAGGGTGGCTCGGGAGGGGGGGGGCTAAGACGCTGAGCTTGTCGACCAGAAAGCTCGGCAGTTTGGCAGTTCGAATCCCTAGTGCCGCACAACGGAGTGAGCTCCTGTTACTTGTCCCAGCTTCTGCCAACCTAGCCGTTCGAAAGCGCGTAAAAAATGCAAGTAGAAAAATAGGAACCACCTTTGGTGGGAATGGAACAGCGTTCCGTGCGCCACCCGGAGGCCTTCGGGATTGGGCGGCGTACAAATCCATTAAAACTTAAAACCTTAAACCTTCGCCGTTGAGTCATGCCCGCCACATGACTCCGGAGACGTATTCAGACAGCGCTGGCTCTTTGGCTTTGAAACGGAGATGAGCATCGCCCCCTAAAGTCAGGAACGACCAGCACAATGTGCAAGGGGAACCTTTATGTTTTATTATATACCCAAAAAATTTTAGCCCCAGAATTGACCAAATCTTCCATGCTGCCATCTTAAAGATGGTTCCTCTGATTCTTTCTGCCTGTCACAATTTTCTTTAAAGCAGGCTGGGTTTAAAAGTTGCCAAAACCCTGTTTTTCCCCCCCCCTCCCTTTCCCTTGCCCCTTCTTTGCAGACGACTCCACCGGGACCCACTCCCTGTATACCACGTATCAGGACTACGAGATTATGTTCCACGTCTCGACTATGTTGCCCTACACGCCAAACAACCGCCAGCAGGTGAGTGAAAACGCAGAAGAGAAAGCAGAAAAAGCGGAGCGGGAGGGGAATGTTTTCCTCGGATAATCTGGGATTGTCGGGTGAAAACATCAGGCTGTTGTGAGGGACGTTCAAAAGTATGGGTAGCACTCGGCCTATGAATCACAAAAGGGAGCCTGGCCTCTCCGTTGCTAAGCGAGACGGTTGTTAAGTGAGTTTTGCTCCACTTTGCACTTTTCTGGTTAAGTGAACCACTGCGATTGTTAAGTTAGTCACAGGGTTGTTAAGCGAATCTGGATTCCCTATGGATTTTGCTGGCCCGGAAGGTTGCAAAAGGGGACACAGCAATCGTCATAAGTATGAGTCAGTTGCCAAGTGTCTGAATTTTGATACTGCAGTGTTGTAAGTGCGAAACACGCTCATAAATCCCTTTTTTTCAGTGCTGTTGTAACTCCCTTTTCTTCTTCTAGCTGTTGAGGAAACGACACATTGGCAATGACATTGTCACCATCATCTTCCAAGAACCGGGAGCTCTCCCCTTCACCCCGCGCTTGGTTCGTTCCCAGTTCCAGCACGTTTTCATCGTGGTCAGAGTGCACCATTCCTCCTCGGATCATACCACCTACAGGTGAGGATGGGGGCGTGGGGGGGGGGAAGCGCTGAGAAAGCCGTCCTAAGTTTTCAAAGTACTTCTGATTGTTTATAGCATGGTTTTTCCTGGATTGCCCTGGCTTCAAAAGAGTTTTAATGGTGTTTCTAATCACGCAAAGGTCACTTGCAAACCGAGATTTGATTGGATTAGATTAACAGAGTCGGAAGGGACCTTGAAGGTCATCTAGTCCAACCCACCCCCCTGTTCTGACTGAGGCTTCCCAAAAGCTTGAAGCCAACTCCTTGTTGTCCTGACAAAAAACCCTTTTATTAATTGACGGTGAATTCTGCTCATTCACGTCCAGCAAAGTCTTTCAAGGGAGGATTTACGGTCACAGACCTTATCTGGCTTGGAGAGCTGCCAGGCCGATCTCTGCACAACTTGGCAAGGAGTCTCGGGGAGTCACGAACCAATGAATTGAACTAATTGTCTCCTGCAAACTCCACTCCCCTGTCGCTCCTCTTTTATTTCCTCTGGGAGGGGCCATTCATCGTCCACCTGGGGTCTTTCTCCTAAGCCGACCCCTGTTCCTTAGCTCTTCCCTTCATCTGGCAACTCTGCGCATGCGCACACTGGGAACAGGCTCCAGCTGTTCTTCTGCCTCACTGATGTCTGACTCCGAAGGCAGCTGATAACTGTCGGATGGCCCTGCCCCACCCCTTGCCTCCTCCACATCAGGGTTGTGCCTGACTTCCGAGAGGGGGACAGGGTGTGTGTGGCCAGTTTGATGTTACTCGTGTCGAGGGCGCTTGTGGTGGCCCGAGCTCTCTGCCAGTGAGAAAGAGCCCCCCGAGCTCCATTTTTGGCTGCAATGGCCTCNGAGTAAAGCCCAGGTGGCGGGAGAATGGCCCCTCCCAGAGGAAATAAAAGAGGAGCGAAAGGGGAGTGGAGTTTGCAGGAGACCATTAGTTCACTTCATTGGTTCGTGACTCTCCGAGACTCCTTGCCAAGTTCTGCAGAGATCGGCCTGGCAGCTCTCCAAGCCAGATAAGATCTGTGACCGTAAATCCTCCCTCGAAAGACTTTGCTGAATGTGAATGAGCAGAATTCACCGTCAATTAATAAAAGGGTTATTTTTGTCGGGACAAGGAGTTTGCTTCATTCTCTCGGGAAGCCTGGGTCAGAACAGCAACTCACATGGTTTGGATCTTTTCAATAGCCAAAGATAGCGAGTCGGAAGAGGAAGAGGAGAGCGGTGGAGAGGATGAAGGTGCAACTGAAGGCTCGGAGGAGGAGGAGGAGGATTCTGACAAGGAAGACGAAGGGAGACTACGCAAGATGGAAGCACAGCGATCTCAGAACAAGGTATCCTAAAAGATGCTTATTATGAAGTCAGAAAGTGGTAGGACGTTGATTGAATCCAGTCCTAGTAAAAAGGCGTACAGGTTTTCGGTGCCGTCGTAACTTTGAACTGTCACTAAATGAACTGCTGTAATTCGAGGACTATCTGTGATTTGCAGCTCTTTTTGAACTGATGTCAATCTCAGAGTGAGCCAGCAAAGAAAGCAGGAGGCTGTGGGATCGATCCTAGGTAGAGACAGATATTTCTCTCTCTCTGGGCATAATGAATAAAACTCTGCATTGGTGACAGGGAGGTCATCCGGCCAGTAAACACTCTCATCTCCAGTCAGTTGCCCAGACTCCGGCCCGCAAGGGATTATGGGGTCGTTAAAAGGAGATGATGATTTAATATTGAAAGCAAGCCTTCTAGCATTGGCTGAGGGATTTTCCCTGAAAGTTTTGTTCTCCGGTTTAACTGAAACTATCTTTTGAGTGCGCCATTTCCTCTTCTCTTAGAATCTCCCTGTGAAGGTGACGCCTGGCCAGGTTGTGAAGGAGGATAAGCAGCGGCTGATGCAAGAACAGCAGAGCGAGGAAAAGCGTTTGGCCATCATGATGATGAAGAAACGGGAAAAATACCTCTACCAAAAAATAATGTTTGGGAAGAAGCGCAAAATTAGAGAGGTATCTTCTTCTTCTCTTTTTTGCTCTGCTCAATTTCCCTCCTGAAGTTCTTGGAGAACTGCGGGAATTAGGAATGAATTCTCTATACATGTCGCAGGATAATGCTGAAGGGTGCAATCTGGGCCAGTCACTTGGATGTTATTGCCGGCCAGCGGAGCTGTCAGCAGATTCGGACAGTGAGGAGGGTTGGGGAGGAGCCTGGGCCAGTCCTGGAGTCTGGGGAAGGCTCTGAGGAGGGCTCTGTGTCAGAGGCAGAGAGGGGCCCAGGGCCGTCTGACAGTTATCAGCTGCCTTCAGAGTCAGACATCAGTGAGGCAGAAGAACAGCTGGAGCCTGTTCCCAGTGTGNGAAGGCAGATTCCTTCCTGTTGTTTGCTGAATTCTCGTGCTTGGGGTTTTATGTTCGGTGTTCTCGTGGGAAGGAAATCATTAACTTTTTTTAAAAAAACAAGGTGAAAATGGCAATTAACAATTAGCTCTAAGCATGGAGTTTTGTTGTTAGAAGCTGTTTGGGTTCAGTTGCTTGGACACAGCATTGTCTTAATTTATTTACAAGCATTCCTCTCTTAAAAAAAAACCAACACATTGCATTTTGCTTCTTATTACCAACCCAAGGTATCCCTTCTTGGGCCTGTAAGATCTCTTTTTCCATTGTAAGGTGATAAATCTTGATATATTTTATTCCTTCAGTGCAGGTAATTTACATAATCGATTGCAAATTATGACAACGTTATTTAGAAAGCTTAAAAGTATTGAAAACAAGTACCAATAAACAAAAAACATTCTATCCATTTTAATATCTGAAGTATTGCAAGCGTAAAATTATTTTATGCAGGTTGACTTACGATAACCATTCAAAGTTAAAACAGATTCCAAAAAAGTTACTTACAACATGATCCTTGAAGTTTCAACTGTCACCTCACCCTAAGCGATCTCCTGATTGTATTTTGGGTGCTGGCAACTCATCTCACATTTACAACCGGTTGCAGTGTCCCATGATTGCATTTTCTAGCCAAAAAAAAAAATCCATTGAGTAAAGTGGGTTCACACTTACAACTGTGTACTACACTTAATGACCGCGATGACTCGCTTAACAACTGTTGTTAAAAACGGTCATAAAATGAAGTCCAGTCTCCTGGTGCCTTGACTTAACGCCTGAAATGACTTAACAACCAACATTCCAATTTCAGTCCCAATTCTCTCTTGAGAGAGAGAGAGAGTTAGAGCAAGGACAAACTTCCTTACTGGAAAAATCAGATTCAGGACTTCGTAAGAAAAGCTGAATCTTTGACCTAAGCTTATGGGAGGTTATGCAGATGGAGAGATGACCCAGAAAGCAGACCGCTCTAGGCCTGATTTACAGACTGCCTCGAAGGTTGATCCCGCATTTTGTGTTAACCGTAGACACGCATATTCATACCCGTGTCCCGAAAGATTAACCCAAGTGTGCAGGGGGGAGGCTGGCAGTTGTACCTGGTGAACTTTTGAGAAAGCTATCAAACTTCCCACCTGATGTGGGAAGGATAGCTTAGAACAGGAGTCCGTGGACCGGAACTGGACCACATCATGCCAGAAACCAGTCCGCAGAAACAAGAGAAGTCCCATCCGTAGGAATGCAAGCAGCACACGAAATCACGGCCCCCTCCCATCACGGTGTACTTATTTCAGCTTCCTTTTTAAAATTAAGCGGTTCCTTTCTTTAAAACAAATATATTCCTGTTTACAAAAAAAAATAGAACTGGGAGTTAGTTATTTTTTTACGTCTCTGCACATTGATTCATTGAGTGACTGGCTGACTGTCTTCCAGCACCCGACAGATGTGGATTATAGGGTCATGGCTACTTTCACTGAATTCTACACCACCCTCCTCGGCTTTGTCAATTTTCGCCTCTACCAGCCGCTCAACTTGCACTACCCCCCAAAGGTGAGTCAAACAGACAAGCTACTGAGAAGCCCAGTTTATCTTCTTAACAGGCAATAGCCCTAGGTAGAAAGAGAGATACACAGGTGACCGTTGAAAAAAATAGGCAAAGCCGTTGGCAAAACACTATGGATGCTATTCTTGTTCTGACCAAGGCTTCCCGACAGCATGAAGCCAACTCCTTGTCCCA